ATTTGTCACAGGCAGGAAAACCTAGGTTTTAGGTTTTCAGGGGACAAGGTGCTTATCATCTCTGGCATATGTCCACCAGATTAGCCTCATGATTGGACAAGGTCTATAGCTGTTTGCTCAGGCCCTCCTGTTGCGCCACAGTTTTCATCGTTCTGTGCACTGATTCCTGACTGAAGGACTCTGTCCTATCAGTGCTCCATTAAATTCTCTTCAGCTGTTTGATAGCACCATGTCTGAGTCTCACCCAGTGCGGCTATGAGTTAGTGAATCAACCTTCTGAAAGCAAAAAATGCCCTCCTTTCAAATTTTATCACAACCACTTGGAAATTGCAAGTTCTTTTAGTTCATCCATGTGCTTATCTCTTTCCCAAATACCCACCGACAGCCAACTCTTGGCCAGATTAAGGCCCCGCTCTCAAGGCTTTGTGATGACACTGGGCGCTGCAAGCCATGAACGTGCACTAACACATGACCTCCAGTGTGGTGTTACGAGTGAATAGACATGGTTGCTAAGCATGCGATAGAGCACCGGCGACGGGAGTTGGAACAGAAGAGCAGAAAAAAGACTCCTTGAAGAGGCGAATTTGAGCTGAGATCCAGATGAAGACGCAAAGCAGGAGAAAGGGGAGGAAAAGGTAGAAGTTAGAGGCCAGCACAACAGCAAGACCTTCAGTCCTAAACAAGGATAGTGCATTTGACAAAAGCAAGTAGCAAGAACAAGATGGACAAGACTGAGGAGGTCAGTAGGCAAAACCCGAGATTGAAGTTGAAGAGCTCGCCCAGGGCTTCCATACTGCAAACAGGCAAGCAGGGAAGTGAAATAGAGGATACAGAAAAATGGCACCCAGAGTGGGCCAGACCCAGGACCTGGGAGCAGTGTCGTCTGCACAGTAGAGGACAGAGCTCACCACATAGTAGGCAGGTTCTCAACTCACACAGCAGGGGCCAGGCCAGTACCGCAAGTGAGGGAAGCAAGCCTAGGTAAGAGACAGCTGTGGAGAACTGAGTGACCTAAGGGTGAGCGACGTGCCTGACAGCATCACACTCATGAAAAACACTGCAGACAAAATAAAGAGCACCATCAAAAATACATTTCAGACAAGACTCAGGTACATGTGAGGAGGTAAAGAAGGCCCTGGACCATCCAGACTCAAATCTGAGCTGGAGGGAAAGCAGGAAGTAGGCTGGGAAAGAGAAAAGTCAACAGAATGGGGTCACATAAAATGCAAAAGCGTCGTATCTTTTATTCCAGGATCTAAGCAAAAAAATGTGTTTTATTAGGTAATAACCCTAATGTTTTCATGATAATGTGAAAGGAAGTATTTGCTATAGAACTTGCACAACCGGCGGGGTGTGTAGGTGCATGCTTATAAGTCTAATACTTGGGAGGCTGAGGCAGTAGGGTCGCTGTGAGTGAGACCAGCCCAAGCTGCATAGTGATATCCTGTCTCAGAAAGACAAAACGAAACAAAGCAAACAATTCACAACAACAACGAAACAACTTTCCCAGCCTAAAAATGCAGGGAACGATCAAATGGGCCAGATGTATGAAGACAGGAACTACTGGGCTCTGTGGTTCAGGCAGTGACCTAATGCACGCATTTTCCTCAGCACCTGTGACCGCACACACTGTGTCTGAATGGATGTAAGAATGGGAAGCTCATTCTCTCAGAGGCCCTCCACCTGCTCGGGTTTTCCTCAGTTTGACCTGGAGATATTTGCCTCCTCATAGTCTGATAATGCCAGATGGGCTCTCTGGCACAACAAGGGCCTATGTAATGCTTTCCTGCTGCCATCCTTCAGGTATCTGGAGACAGTAATTCTGCCACTGTCATTCTTTTACAAGCTGTCCCTGCTCTGGTTTGGACGCCAACTCTTTCCCAACCTTTGATTCTAGAACCTGCCATCCCAAAGACTCCTCTGTGACTTTTCTCCAGTTTGTCACTATCCTTCTCAAAATGGTGCCCAGAGAAAACACAACATTTCTAACAGACATACGTTGGGGTCCCACTAGCAACCTGTATTATGCAGAAATACCATTGTATTGATTGAGCTCAGCCTCCTGATGTCCTGGTCTCCCTCCCCTCTTCCTCCAAGGCAGTCTGTTTGCTGCAGGTCCTAAAGAGATGCATAGTCCACAGGGAGTGATTTCATTAGGCTAAAGAATGCCAACCCTCATCGCTCTATCATCTCTGATTAAGATCACTCAGACTAATGCATATTACATCTTGTGCCAATAAGGCTGAAGCAATGCCTCACGCCTCCTGTGCCTCTAACCTCACTACATAGTACCAAACCGGAGAAGGAGCGTTACACAGAGAGGAGGATGAAACTGAGAATGAGTGGAAGGCAGAGAGAAAATTGGAAATATGGCCGTTGGCAAGAATGCTGCAGACAGTGGCCTATATCCAGGTTGTCCACTTGCCCCCATTGCTATAATTATAAGGAAAATTCATAATAATAAGAGAACTAACTAGTTCTTGAGTGTGTGTGTGTGTGTGTGTGTGTGTGTGGTGCCAGGAATTGAACTCAGGACCTTGCACTTGCCAGGTAGGCGCTGTGCCACTGAGCTACATCCCTGGCCCAAGCTCTTTCTACATGCTTAGTATGTGCCAAAGTCTAAAATGAGACTTCTAGTCAAATGTGTCATAAAATACACATGATGGCCTTTTAGAGTAGTATAAACTTATTTGCATTTAATTTAATTTTTAATTTTAATTCTTTTAAAAATTTTTGTGGTACCAGGGATCAAATGCAGGACCTTGTGCTTACCGGGCTGTTGCCTAAGCTGCTGAGCTGTCTCCCCAGCCCCTTATTTCCAAGTTAAAGATAAGAAAGTGACAACACAGATGCTAAGTGATTTTCTAGCCTCATGTGGTTAGCAGGCAGATCAGGATTTGGCTTGGAATTGGCTCACTTGCAGGGCTCAGTCTTTTAGAGTTCCATGCCACAGTTTCCCTTAGTGGACTCTCTGCACTGTACATGACCTACCCTCAGACAGGAGAACAAGTGCTGTCATGCTAACTACTTCTTCTGAGCTGCATCTCCACACAGTCGGAAAGTCAGAACACGTGTCATCTTATCTGGCCACAGCCAGCACCAGTGCAGGACACAAGGGCAAGAAAATAGAACAGACAGGCAACACATCGACCTCGCACCAGACACGTCCTGAACCAGGCTGAAATGGGTCTGTGGAGCTTCTGTCCCTGGTATATTTGCAACATAAACAAGATTTCAAGGTGACTGCTCTGACTAAGAAAACAGTGTCTTCAAGTACTCTTATTACCATTTTAGCAGTCTTCACTTGTACATAAATCATGTGCTAATTTATTCATTAAAATATGCATGGCAATATTTTGTTAACCTTACTTTATGTTAATAGAATCACTACTTTTTCCTTTTCAATGTATCTTTTTATAATTCCTCCATAATTCTGACTTTCCTGCAACTTGGACTAAGCCCTTACCAAACCCCACCCTGCAGTAAAAATAAGATCAAAGTAGAGTACTATAGGATGACTTTGGAAATTGCAGATTTTCCAGACAGCTTATTCCCTCACCCATTCACACACCAGGATCTACTGGAAATTTTCTTTCATCATAACTAGGCATCCGGTTTGCCTTTGAAATCTCCTAGAACAGAATCCCTAGGGATGGAGTCTCCTAGGAATTGAGACTGTCGCAGAACAGCACCTACATACCAGTGATGAGACAATTTTCATCTGACACAGGTCTGCTGGAGCTCTTGGGGAACACAGGAGAACTAGAAAGTCAGGAACATCTGAAAGGCCTTTCACCCCAAGGGATCATCCCACTTCTTGCACAATTTAGTGAGGCCCAGACAAATAGGTACAACACTTCCACATGCTGACCTCTCATTCTTTATTTTCATGCTCTGGACAGCTAATGTATTACCCAGTTACTGCAAGGAAACCCCATAAACACACACACACACACACACACACACACACACACACGCACACGCACGCACACACACATACACAAAACTATGGCCTCTATATGACCCTTGGAAGTCCACCAAAGAGAATCAGATGGATTTACCTAGCTGAATCATAGGGACAACCAGAATAGAAAAGGCTTGGAAAATAAGTGCGTGACCACCATGTCGCCTCTTTTACATTTGACATCCATGGGAGAAATCGCTGGTCAACAGACTAGCTTTCTTTTCACACCCAAAACACCCTCGGAATCCTTGTCAAGCCAGGACTGTAGGATGTTCGCACCATTTGATCAGCAGTGAGAAGTAGGACACACGTTTACCCTTACTTGACTATAACGAGCGGGTGACCTAAAATTACCTTACGTTCTACACCAGTCTGATTCCTCAGAGGTTGTGTGCTCCACACAAGGCACAGGAATATCTTGAGCTGGTTGTGCAGACTTGACCTCCAGGTAAGGCCAGGCTAGCTGCTTCGAGTGTGTACTGATTTCACACTTACGTGCTGGGTGGGAGGATCCACAACTCCATTAACTGCTAAAAGCTTTGTGATACACATGTCACACTCATGACTTCAAACTGGCTAGTTTCTACTCGTCAAAATTCAATTTTCCACTTTGAACAAATTTGGAGAGAGAAACTGAGCTTCAAAATGTGTTGAAAACTAAATGTAGTATTTGTCCAAAAGAAGCTTGTGTAGAATCTGGGCGGCAGTGAAGATTTTCTTCTGTGAAGATTGTAGAACAATATCGCCGCACATATATTCAGCGTCCTGGTAAATGACCAGGCAGAAGTTAGAAGGACACGTGGATGCTCCTCATTCTCATTTGAAAGAGAAATTATCAGAATTTCTTTATCTCAGGTTCCCATGGTGATCGTCCTTGGTTCCTTGGCCTCTAATGTCACTTTCCGGGTTACACTGCGTAAACCCCACTTACAGTCACATCTCGGTGATCTTGGCTCACCGAGAGCCAATCCTGGCGGATTTCACCGCCCTGACAGCCGCTGTGATCTCAGGCTGAGAGCCCGGCAGGCACGCTCACCCTATCATAGATGTAGTCAGGCCTGCGAACGTCTCCAGCCTTTCTGGGAAGAACGTGGGCACCAACATGCTGACAACAGTGTGGGAGCGAAACAGAATCTGATTTATCTTCCCGCATATTTTTAGACTTGGCAGTGAGGTTCTCCTGCAGCCCAATTACTCAGCACTGGTTACTGCTGGATTATTTTTCAGAGGAAGCTGCCGTTCACTTTCAGTAATTACATATAAAGTGGCCTGGGAAAAGAGAGGCACAGAATGGGAGGCAGCAGCTAGGCGGCGTCTAAGAGTCTGACTGAAATGCCAGGAGATTTCAGAGGCCTTGTGTTGTCATTCGTAGTTGTCAGTCTTGGTTGCGTTTAGCCCGTGCTTTGAAATGACAGTGTGTCTCAAAAGATGGCCACTGTGACTCCGAAGGTGACAGGAGAACCGGCTAACAGCACGCTGCCTAAATACAGATGGAATGAAAGGGAAGAGGAAGCAACATGGGTCCACCGACAGAACTGGGGCTTTAAAGAATAATTGCGTCATAGCTGTAGAAACTGTTCCCATTTACCAAGCTTTTATTTTCTGTGATAAATTGCTTGACGTTGTGCACCATATGATTTCATGTGATGCCTCTAAAAATCCTATCCTAACACAATCTCCGTTTTTCTTACCTGAGAACCGAAGTCCAGAGAGGTCATGGCAGAGTCTGCGCAGGAAGTTCGGTCGCGTGACTTCTGTCCTCTCTTTCTTCCTGTGCACGGGCACTGCCTATGTGAACACAATCTTTGAAATGGCCCCTTTCTCTAGCCTATTGAACCACTCAGGTAATACACATAGCAACGCTATTGTACAGAAATCATGAATCGAGGCTCATAGCATGTCTAATCCAATATATTATTCAAGGCTAAATGGTTGCTTGAAAGTTTTACTTTCCCAGTAGTGCCTATTGTACCTTGGCTGAAGTTAAACCTATTCTTGCTCTTGAGTAATGCTCTTGAGTTTATTACAAGCCACAACAAGGAATATGAAAATGAAAAAGCCGAAGTGTGGAGAAGCAGACAAAGAATCAGATCCATCCTTGAGCATCCCTACCCCTTCTTGATGACTGTGATTAGACTGCAAAGCTCCGAAGGCCCTCCAGAGAATGCAAGATGAAGTGTCCCTGTGGCTTTGTATACAAGGAAGGGAAAATGACACGCTATTAAAGCGGAGTCAGGGAGCCCAGAAGTCCAAGGTGAATGAAACAGAGAGAAGCTTAGCACCAGCCTCTGAGTACACAGTCCCCAAAGAGTGATGTGTTTTCACCAGAATCTTCTCCAGTCAATGAGGAAGCTGGTCGCAGATCCCTCAGCAACTGGAGCATGTGTGTATTTAAGGTACAAAGACTACGGGAGCACAGAGAGGGAGGGAAGCCTACCGAACAAGGGTGAATAAATCACAAAATCAGAAAGCAAAGTTTTAGGAGAAATTCCAGTGTGCAGGCCAGGCTAAGACTGATTAAAGCCCGGAGAATGGATCACTTCAAAGTAAGACCTGAAAAGAAAGGGAACGTGTCACAGAACAATGACCCAGCCCACCCACAGAAGGAGCCTTCTTACAGTCTTTGCTTTCCAAACCTGCTGCAGTCATTACTTCTCTTCCTTTTTTTGTTCTTTCCTTCCTCCAGGTACCCTTTTTCCTTTTCACTCTTCCTCCCACCCACTTATCCATCTCTCTATCTAATCCCTCACTTTCCAGTACTCAGGTCTTTCAGGTTGGTGCTCTGCAGGTGAGGCGCCGGCAACACAGGTGCTGCCTACCAAAAGGTACAGTATCCCAGTGCTTTTGGATCTGCCCTGTAACCAGCTGGGCAACCTTGTCATAGTAGGCCTGGCGGTCAGCACTTTTGTCTAGAATGGAGACTGCATTTTTTTAACCTCATAAGGGTAACTGGTTCAAGCCTTCTAAGACTGTGTTGAGCATGCTACTTAACACATAGGACTCACTACCACTGCAGTAGGATTATTCTGTTTTTTTAAATATCTTTTTATCACTTGAGAATCAAGTTGAGATCACATTCCAGAACTGACTCACACATGAGCAGGTGATATATTTATGAACAACCTCGGATGAGGAATTGCTAGCGCTCACTTTTACCAAAACTTGTTCCTCTGGTTTTGTCTAGCACTTGCAAACTGGAACGCATGTCTTGGGCTTCCTAAAATATTAGATTTCCAGGTGCCCCAAAATAATATTTCTGACAAGATAATATTTGATGATGCTGGCCAAGGCCCAAACTTCAGGAATCACTGGCTAAGCGTGGACCTGGCTCCTACCCAAGCTCTTGCCTCATGTCCTGAAGCGGGAACCAGCATCACCCCTGTGCTGCCTGTCCCGCTGCCTTACCTGAAGACTGGCTTGTGAGTGCTGCCTGGTCTTCCTGTGCTCCGACTCCCCTTCTGCTCTGAATGGCCTGCTGACATGTGGCTGGCTATGAGCGCACAGCCAGGGAACCTCCTGGGTGTGTGACAATCCTCTGTCTCCTTTCCTTTCCTTTGCTTTTCTGAGTGGAGTATTTAGAGCTGGCTTTGTAAGCTCCACTGCAACCCAGTCATGGAAACACCACTCCTGATCACTGGTCACCTCTTAGAACTTACCGTGACACCACAGATAGTGCAGAGCTCCCTGAAGAGGTGATCCTCCCCAAGGGTGTGCATGGATCTCAACTCAGCCTGATCTTTTCTTTTTTTCCCCATAATTTTATTGAGAAACAAATAGCAATAACACAGTTTCAAATCATATTGGTAGGACAGTTTCAATAATTAACACATTGTATACTGTTTTCCTAGTGGTTATTTGTTGTACAAGATGCAGACATAATATCCTATTTACAAACACTATTAGACAAATCCCTCTATTCATTAAATTAAGAGAAAGTAGCTATATATCTATCCTAACCATTTTGAATACACAGATACAACATGGTCATTCATCTGTATCCCCTTTTTTTGTTTAGTTTCATCATTTAAATATTATAGGTATGTGAACTCAGCAAAATATTCCAAGAGTCCAGTAGTACATAATAGTATTGGGTCTTCCGCTTGACTGGCAATGTCAGAAGTTGTTGACCTGAGTCCCCTACAGCTCAACATAACAGCATGACTTTACGTCTTATACTTCGTTTTTATACTTTTCTGCTGGAGAGTTAAGACCAAGATAAATATGTATGCATCAGCCTGATCTTTTGATACCGGCTTTTAAGTGCCAGGCTGATCCCAGGATCCTGATGACACACTGAGCTTCTCAGAACAGGCAGTCGGTGACAAAGTCACCTCAGGCCTCACTGCCACAAAGAAATAGCACTGCTGTGGCCTTCGAGCAGAATGGAGACCTGACTTACAACACTTTCAACGGCAGACATGGGATAACTGAACAGAACCTGCTGGTGCCGAGCGGGGATGATCACAATTTAACTCTTCAGAGTGCTGACAGAATATTGATACACTGAAGCACTCTAGAATTTTTCTAGGGATTGTGGTTGAGCTGCTTGAGTTGGAAGAGTATTTTAAAAGGATCATGATATATTCCATGGGAAAATGTTTTCAAATTTAATTTTGCAGTGGTCATTAACCACATAAAGCATCTGAGAGATTTCTGCACAAAAGACACTTAAGTTTGCATGATACAATGTTCCAAAAATGTATTTGTTTATGGAGCACCCAGGTTTTTATTCCTGTATCACTTATGTATATTTTTCTAACACATGTATTCTTTAAGTCAAAAACATTTATTGCTAAGTGTTTTTCTAGCAACCATCAATATTCTGATATATAAGCCAAAATTCCTGCACCCAGAAAGCATATTATATTCCAATGAGAAATGTGAAACATTAAATAAGTACGTTAACAAATAGTCATGAATAAAAATACAGCAGGGAAGACCAGGAACTGGTACACTTCTCAAAGCTCAGGGTAAGAGGCAGGACTCAGCTAATAGATACAGTCGGGAAGGACACAGAACAACCAATGTTGGCTTGTTGGTTTTCAACCAGTGTTGGAACTCTAAATTTCTAGTTAGCAAAGAAAGAATTTCACAAAGGAGGGAGTCATGCCCCATGTGCTGTAGCAGGAGGACAAAACTGCAAAGCACATGCAAAGTGACTCAGCATAGTGAAATGCAAATAGTCAATAGTGAAATGCAAATCAGGACCTCACTGCGATACCTCTCCCCACAAACTGGGATGTCCAATCCAAAAGAAGTACAATAGCAAGTGTTGGTGAGAAAGTAGAAAACGGAACCTTCAATCACTACTGATGAGAAAAAATAAATGTTGCAGCTGCTTTAGAAAATAGCTTTCCAGTTGCTCGAGGAGTAAAATATATATGTCCAAGAAAACCAAAAGTACATGTACACAAACGTGTGTGTGATCATTTATAGCCATATAATTCACAGACATCACGGCCAGTGAATGAATGAATGAATGGGTAAACACAACGCAGTGTGTCAAGATGACAGAATACTATTTGGCTCAAGAAGGGATGAAGCATGCTAAGTGAAAGCGTCACGCTAAGTGAAAGTACCCTGACACAAATGGCCATATAGTGCGTGCTTCCATTTATGAAATGCTCAGGCGAGATCAGTTTACAGACGGAGAAAGATTAGTGGTTCTCAGACCAGAGTGAAGAGTGGCTCTTAATGGGCAGAGCTTCTTCGGAGGATGATGAATAGTTTCTAGAATTATTTAGTGTCAGTGGTTGCTCGACTTTGTGAGTATGCTGCGAACACTGAACTGTGCTCTTTAACAGGGTTACTTTTAGGGTACATGCATTATGCATCAGGAAAGCAGCTACTACAAAAAGAAAAATGGACTGCAGTAAATGGAGGTGAAGAAAGAGTGCAAACATGGACATCACCGACTGGGGTCCCGTCTCTTCTGTGCTGCTTTTCCTTCTCCTCTTGAACAGATCGATCACTTACCAGAGGATGGTCGGTATAACCTGGTCAAATATTGATCTATTTTATCTATGTCCCAACATATCCATAAGGGCTAAGCTAATATACTGATAGACTGAATATACTGATAAGGAATATTTAGTGATAAGGGAT